TGAGATTATTATTGAGAGTAAAGCAGATCCCGGAAGTGATAAAATGCTTTCCAATCACAACACCATTAATACACTCAACACTTATCACTATTTTCACTGTTTTTGGTCTAAATGTCACTTCAAAAGTCGATATAAAACTGATTTTAAAAAACAATTAAAACATTCAAATAAATTAAGTGTTAAAATGCTTTCCAATTACAACAACATTCATACACTTAACACAAATAATAATTTTCAGTTTTTGTTTTAAATATAAGTTTAAAACTCGTTTTAAAAATAAGATTTTATTATTATTTTACAATAATTAAAACATTGAAATAAAATGCTTTCCAATCACAACACCTTTAATACACTCAAAATTTACTGCAAAAATTCCATGCTTTCAAGTCACATGCAGTTGTTTATGAAACCTGGAAAGGGATTACACCTGGTATGTAAATAAAGGGATTAAATGTAGATAAGAGTGCAAAACTTTACTCCAATATGTGGCCTAGAGTATTACTATGGTGTTACGCAAAACAGACATGCATGCAGTAAAACTAAAATTATGACCAGGGTAGGCATTTGGTGAATATTTTATGAAGTGCACATAAAATTTTAATAAATTTCCAACATTTTGGTATAGTTTTTGTTAACAAAATANAATTTTAATAAATTTCCAACATTTTGGTATAGTTTTTGTTAACAAAATATAATTGTAAATATTTTAAAATTAATTTCGAAATCTTACTGATACGATGGGACACCCGATATAATAAATTATTAAATACAAAATTAGGCACAATGAATATTAGATATAATTTAATAATGTTATAAGATATAAGTTACTTGAAATGTGATTCACTTGACAACACAATAGTCAATGATCTCATATACCATAACTGCTAAGGTATAACTGCTAGGCTACTGTGTAATCAATGTGTAAAAAGCAAACAATAACCCCAATAATTAATGTTTTAAATGTAATGCGCCTTTAAATGCAATGCTTAACCAACCAGTATTTCACTTATTCTGTATCACTGTGACTTAAAAACGGGACCTAAGAACCCGCATAACCCGCCAGCACATATCTATTATAAACACATGAAATGCTGAAAAGCAATATAATGTACAGGGTGTTAAAAAATAACTAAATAATTTTATTCAAATGATCAAATTTCCAAATCATTTAGATAAAATTACGTAATGAGATCGTCAGATGAGAACTAAATTAACTAAATTGTTAACTGAATTAAGCACTTAGTGAACAAAAATATGAAATGGCGAAACTAAATTAAAAACTTTATAAAGTCAACAATTAAGTTCATAAATTAGTTAATATAGTTAACAATTTAGCTAATTTTGTTAATAAATTGCTTAATTTAGTTCGTGTTTGATTTAGTTTCACCTATTTCATAATTTAGTTCACTAATTGCTTAATTCAGTTAACAAATTAAGCAATTAGTTAACGAAATTAGCTAATTGTGAACAATATCAACTAAATTGTTTACTTAAATAACTAAATTATAAACTAAATTAAGCAATTTGTTAACTAATTGAGCTAAATTTTTAACTATATAAACTAATTTATTAACTAAATTGTTGACTTAATTTTCTAAATTGTGAACTAAATTATCCAAATGGTTAACGAACTTAGCTAATTGTTAAAATTATCAACTAAATTGTTGACTTAATTAACTAAATATTATGTTTAGAATAACATGATTTTCAATATTTAATTACAAACATAATTTCATTATTATCTCAATACTATCTGATCACCCGGTACATGAATGTGTTACCAGTGTTTTTTGTTTAGTACCTATATATAGATTATTGAGTGCCCAGATACAGATTAAGTGTGTGCAGGCGAACTTATCAGTAGATCGATCTCCACTTTTTACACTCAGTGTTCTGTATACAGTACTGCATTTATTACAGTACAGTATATCCTTTATTCAAATGTTTTTCATAATATTTATGAGTTTAAAGTTTAAAACTATGGAAAGCTATGCACAAAATGGTTCAGAAATGTTTTTAATTTGACTGAAAACTAAATACATTCACTTATATGTAATAAAGTTGAAGGACTAATAAGTTATAAGTTAGTACCGGATTTTGGTGACTTATAAATTTAGCAAGCAGATCATTAATGTGTTCCAGCACATTCCATAATAATGACTTGTTAGAATAAATGAGAATATTTCAAAATGAATAAATTATTCACTGGATAAAGTTAGTTTATTAATTTCCAATCAAAAATGTATTATTTTGTATTTTTATAGTTTTGATAATACTCATTTTATAATATTTATTTTTTTGAATTGAAAATTAAAAAACTAACTTTATAGAGTGAAAAATTCATTTATTTTGAAACATTCACATTTATTATCAGTATTTTTATGGACTGTGCTCGAACACATTAAGGGAATAAATAATTTAGCACCTTTATACAGTATAATTTATGTATTAAAATACTGTACTATTAAATACGGAAAGTTAGTATTTTGGGTGAATTTATCATAGGGTTAATAATAATTTTATAAATACAATTAAAATGCTATTAACTTCAAGCAATGGTAAACATTTTGTGTTATATAACATTAATCACAAAGTTTACAAGGTTAATTGCTTTTTACATTCTGTATACTATTCTTGAATCTGACTTTCAAATTAAAGTTGAAAAATAAACATTCAAATGTGTTTCAATGCAAATATGATTTAGTTTTTGTCAAAAATATTTAGTAAAATATATAACTTTGAATATTAGTTTTATTGAAATCTATTTGTTGCATTTAATTGTTCACATAAAATATTGTATACAGGGAGAATTATTATTCAACTTAATTGTGTAGAAATTAACGATAATTTATGATTAATAATAAGAAATGATAATTAAATGCTAAACACTATTAATAGAAACAAAGTCTTTCCCAGAATTGTCGCAAACAATAGTAATTTGAATACAAATAAAGTGCTTATACTCTGAATAATAAATTGTTTTCAGTGTGTACTCAATGTGTAAAAAGCAAACAAAAATAACCCAGATAATTAATGTTTTAAATGTAATCCGCCTTTAAGTCTTGAAATGCTTGACTACCTGTTTGTATGAATTAAATCAATGAATATGTCATAAATAGTGGGCAATAGTATTGATACATACGTTGCGGTACTGGCCGTCGATTCAGTGCCTGTATTACCGACCAGTTGTCGGATGCCTTCCAATGTTTTCAACGCCTTATCCCTCTCTGTATTCATACCACTCATCAAAGTGTTAGTCTTTTGGCTCTCATTTAGGATTTGTGTCAAAATATCTGTCATTCTCTTCATCGGATTCTGTGATCCCTTCCCAACACTACTGCCTTCCTCTGAACCACTGTTTGATGCGATACACGTAAACATTAATAATATTATAATTATATAATAATTTTCTAAATATCTTAACAAAACGAGTATTTCAATTAGAAAATCATTTTATAAATATTTTATTAATCAAGTTCCCTTTTAATTATTCAAATATAGGTTATACGGTATATTTCTTACTTGTCCCCCATTTTATGTCCCTTAACTCATTGACCCACTATTACAGGGTAGTTTACCTAACAATTAGCTAACCTACTTATGTAACATATTATACTTAACATGTATTGCAGTGATGCCAATCCAGTAGTGCAGTGAAACAAACCAACATATTGAGTAAATAAGTTAGGTTAGGCTAGGGTAGGTTTGGGTAGATTAGGGTAGGGTAGGTTATGGTAGGTTAGGGGGCTTTTCTGTAAGTGTGGACCAAGGGCTACTAAATAAGGTCCGGTTCAGCTTATATCCCGATTGACTTATACGGCAATAACTTGACTGTAATTTCCACAAACCTTATGTCCAATTGATTCAAATTCTGTCTCAACTCCTGGTTCTCGCAAACAGTCCTATCATAGGATGCCTTCAACGCCGACAACTCCACCTTCAAGTCATTTATCTCTTTCGATAGACTTTCCGTATAATCACTTTTGGGCTCCGATTTATTGACTATTAAAATCTCGTCCTTAGCGCTGATACTGCTAACCAGGTACTCATTATTATCAGGTCCATCCATCACGAACAAACTATGCACGTTTTGACCATGGGCGTATTTCTGTTGGTTGTACACTATTTTGTCGCTCTCATCGCAATAGATGCCGCGCGCCTGGAGGTAAGCCTTCAAATCATGGATAGTCTTGACCGCATCCGTGTCCACATTGATTGCGATTTTATAGCCACACTTTAACACCACGCTCAGTTTGTGTGACATTTTTTATAGTTGATACATTGATACTTTCATGTAATTTATGAGTTACAATACTATGAAATACAATAGCATTTGGAGTGAATTTATCATAAGGTTTATAATACTATAATATTATTAAATGACAAGTTTTATGAATACAATTGAAATGTTGTTCACTTTTACAGTATGTTTCACTTTAAGAAATGATAGCTTTGCAGACATTAGCAAATATTTTGTATTGTATAACATTAATCACAAAGTTTACAAGGTTAATTGCTTTTTACATTCTGTATACAGTCTTTCAAATGTTTAAAACTTGAAAAAGCACATTTCAAACCCTTTAAATGTGTTTCAATGCAAATATAATTTTGTTTTTCGCGAAATTATTGTCTGTGTTTTGACTAAATGTTTGTAGACTTATGCAGAGTTATTTGTTTTGTTAAATTTTATTTTATAATTTATAGCAATATAAAGTACCAATAAATGTCAATTATACACTAAATATAA